CGAGGAGAAGATCACTGGGATGTGGGGAAAATACTGGGATGTGGGGAAAACATTGGGATGTGGGGGAAACAACATCAGGATGTGGGGAAAGCATCGGGATATGGGGGAAACATTGGGATTTGGGGAGAACATCACTGGGATATGGGGAGAACATCACTATGGGGGAAACATCAGGATATGGGGGAAACACTGGGATTTGGGGAGAACATCACTGGGATTTGGGGAGAACATCACTGGGATTTGGGGAAAACAACATCAGGATGTGGGGAAAGCATCGGGATATGGGGGAAACATTGGGATTTGGGGAGAACATCACTGGGATTTGGGGAAAACATCGGGATATGGGGGAGACAACATCAGGATATGGGGGAAACATTGGGATTTGGGGGGAACATCACTGGGATTTGGGGAGAACATCACTGGGATGTGGGGAGAACATCACTGGGATGTGGGGAAAACATTGGGATATGGGGGAGACAACATCAGGATATGGGGAAAACATCAGGATTTGGGGAGAACATCACTGGGATTTGGGAAAAACATCAGGATTTGGGGAGAACATCACTGGGATTTGGGGAAAACAACATCAGGATGTGGGGAAAACATCAGGATATGGGGGAAACATCGGGATTTGGGGAGAAGATCATCAGAATGTGAGAAAAACATCGGGATGTGGGGAGAACATCACTGGGATGTGGGGAAAATACTGGGATATGGGGAAACAACATCAGGATATGGGGAAAACATCAGGATTTGGGGAGAACATCAGAATGTGGGGAGAACATCAGGATTTGGGGAGAACATCACAGGGATGTGGGGAAAACAACATCAGGAGGTGTGAAAAACATCAGGATATGGGGGAAACATTGGGATTTGGGGAGAAGATCATCAGAATGTGAGAAAAACATTAGGATGTGGGGAGAACATCACTGGGATGTGGGGAAAGCATCGGGATATGGGGGAAACAACATCAGGATGTGGAGGAAACATCAGGATTTGGGGAGATCATCAGAATGTGTGAAAAGCATTGGGATGTGGGGAGATATCGTTGGGATGTGAGGAAAGCAGCAGGATCTTTGCCCATATCGTTGGGATGTGAGGAAAGCAGCAGGATCTTTGCCCAGATCTGTGCCCTGGCCCCGTGTCCGTGGGGATGAGGCTCCTCAAATCCCTGAATTCTCTTTCCTTTGCTCCCCCTGTGCTGGGGCCCAAACTCTGCTTTATTATTATTATTTTTTTAAATTTGATTTTTTTTCCCCCTTTTGCAGATGTCATTCTCTGCCACCTGACAAAGGAGCAGAATGCAGCAATTTTCCCTAACCTAAATAGTGGCTCTGTATTTCCAGCTCCCCTGGAACTGGAATTAATTTAGTGTGTGGGCTTTTTAATTGGCTCGTTGTGGGGAGGAACAGAAGATGAAATGCTGCAGCTCTGCCTTCCTCTTCCCTTTCTTCCCTGAAATCTCTGTCACTCTCCTTGTCTTTCACTTCCACCAGTCGCTGGTTTTTCCCTGGATTTTTCTTTTGTTGAGATTTCCCTCTCTCCCAGCCCCAGGGGTGTCAGGGATGGGGCTGCTTCCTTCAGCAAATCCCCTGGGATGGCTGCAGGGAATTGGGAATTGTCTCTCCATTCCTGGTGCTGGGCAGGTGGGGGATGGAGGGATCCATGGATGGATCCATGGATGGATCCATGCAATCAATCCCTCATTCCAATGGAGCCATCTTCAGACTCAGATATGGAATTGCACAGCCTGGGAGCTGCCAGGGGGGGATTTTCCCCCTCCACAAAACCAAAAAAAAATAAAATCTCTTTTGGAATAAATTCAAAAATATTTTTTGGAATAAATTCAAATAATTTTTTAAAAAAAATCTGTTTTGGAATAAATTCAAAAATATTTTTTGGAATTAATTCAAATAAATTAAAAAATAAAATCTCTTTTGGAATAAATTCAAAAATATTTTTTGGAATTAATTCAAATAAATAAAAAAAAAAATCTGTTTTGGAATAAATTCAAAAATATTTTTTGGAATTAATTCAAATAAATTTAAAAAAAAAAATCTCTTTTGGAATAAATTCAAAAATATTTCTTGGAATAAATTCAAATAATTTTTTAAAAAAATCTCTTTTGGAATAAATTTAAAAATATTTTTTTGGAATAAATTCAAATAAATTAAAAAAAAAATCTCTTTTGGAATAAATTCAAAAATATTTTTTGGAATTAATTCAAATAAATTTTAAAAAAAATCTCTTTTGGAATAAATTCAAAAATATTTTTTGGAATAAATTCAAATAAATTTTTAAAAAAAATATTTTTTGGAATAAATTCAAAAATATTTTTTGGAATTAATTCAAATGAATTTAAAAAAAAATCTCTTTTGGAATAAATTCAAAAATATTTTTTGGAATTAATTCAAATAAATTAAAAAAAAAAATCTCTTTTGGAATAAATTCAAAAATATTTTTTGGAATTAATTCAAATAAATTTAAAATCTCTTTTGGAATAAATTCAAAAATATTTTTTGGAATTAATTCAAATAAATTTAAAATTTCTTTTGGAATAAATTCAAAAATATTTTTTGGAATAAAGTCAGATAATTTTTTTTAAAAAATCTCTTTTGGAATAAATTCAAAAATATTTTTTGGAATAAATTCAAAAAAAATCTCTTTTTGGAATAAATTCAAAGCCAGGTCTGAGTTGATGGAATTTGTTTTGGTATTTTTTAATCCCAAACTCCTTGGATGAGCATGGAAAAAGCCACCTCGAGTGCTTTTCTCATCCTGACTCAAAATCTCCGTTGAGGATTTTTAGGATTTCATCCCCCTGCTAAAAAAATCTGTGAGGCAGGTCCTGAACTTAAATAAATAGTAAATAAAAGAATAAATAGTTTTTAGTAAATAAAGCACCCCAGAGGACACAGCCCTCGTGTGGCTGGGTGGATTTAAATTGTTCTGGGGTGGGGTGGATTCCAGCAGGGAGAAAACGGGGAAAAAACGGGGAAAAAACAGGGAAAAAACAGGGAAAAAATGGGGAAAAAACGGGGAAAAAATGGGGAAAAAACAGGGAAAAAATGGGGAAAAAATGGGGAAAAAACAGGGAAAAAATGGGGAAAAAACAGGGAAAAAATGGGGAAAAAACAGGGAAAAAATGGGGTAAAACCAGGGAGAAAACAGGGAAAAAATGGGGAAAAAACAGGGAGAAAACAGGGAAAAAATGGGGAAAAAACAGGGAAAAAACAGGGAAAAAATGGGGAAAAAACAGGGAAAAAATGGGGAAAAAACAGGGAAAAAATGGGGAAAAAATGGGGAAAAAACAGGGAAAAAATGGGGAAAAAACAGGGAAAAAATGGGGTAAAACCAGGGAGAAAACAGGGAAAAAATGGGGAAAAAACAGGGAGAAAACAGGGAAAAAATGGGGAAAAAACAGGGAAAAAATGGAAAAAATGGGGAAAAACCAGGGAAAAAAGGGGCTTCTGGAAATGGGGTAAAAGGTGTGAGGTGCTTCAGCTGCTGGGCTCAAATCTGGGGTTGAGAGGAGCTGGAATTCCCTGTGGGATCCTTTCAATTGCTGGAAATTGTCTTATTTTATTTTATTTTATTTTATTTTATTTTATTTTATTTTATTTTATTTTATTTTATTTTATTTTATTTTATTTTATATATTTTATATATTTTATTATATTATATATATATATATTAATTTATTTTATTTTATTTTATTTTATTTTATTTTATATATTTTATATATTTTATATATTTTATTTTATATATATTATTTTATTTATATTTTATATATTTTATATATTTTATTTTATATATATTAATTTTATTTTATTTTATTTTATTTTATATATATTATTTTATTTTATTTTATTTTATTTTATTTTATTTTATATATATTTTATTTTATTTTATTTTATTTTATTTTATTTTATTTTATATTATTTTATTTTATTTTATTTTATATATATTTCATTTTATTTTATTTTATTTTATTTTATTTTATTTTATATATATTATTTTATCTTATTTTATTTTATTTTATTTTATTTTATTTTATTTTAGGAGATCTGTCCTTTTCCCCGCCGTGTGCCGGAGGAGGTGGGGACACCTGCCCAGGTAGGTGCCAGCAGCACCCAAACACCCCCTGAGCCCCAAAATCCGGGAATTTCCCAGTGGGAATTTGGCTGGGAATGATCCCAAAGTTCACTCAGGCTGTGAGGTGCAGCCCCAGTGGGGACTTTTTTTCCTGAAATTCCATTCTTTTTCCTGGAATTCCATTTTTTTCCTGAAATTCCATTCTTTTTTTCCTGAAATTCCATTCTTTTCCCTGTAATTCCATTCTTTTCCCTGTAATTCCATTCTTTTCCCTGGAATTCCATTCTTTTTTCCCTGTAATTCCATTCTTTTTTCCCTGTAATTCCATTCTTTTTCCTGGAATTCCATTCTTTTTTTCCTGGAATTGGCTGATCCTTCATGTCCATTCCATCCCCAACCCCCCTGTGACACCACAATATCATCTCTCATATTCAATATCACCACTCAATATCAATCAATATCAATCAATATCAATCAATATCAATCAATATCTATCAATATCTATCAATATCTATCAATATCTATCAACCTCCTTTCAATATTCTCCATCTTTCCAATTTCTTCATGCCTAAAAATAAATCTGAGTTTTGCTGGAGAGACCCAAAGGTTGTCCAAGGTGACTGACCTGCCCCAGGAGCAGCTCCAGACGTGTTCCCTTCTCCTCCAAGGAACAACCGGCCAGGCCTGAGCTGTTTCTTGGCTAAAAAAACTCATTTTTTAGGAGATTCCAGCGGTTTTTTTATCCTCAATCCTTATCGGGGTTGGGTTTGGAGTCTCCAAGAGAGGGCAGTGTGTCCCTGGCACTGGAGCCGTGTCAGCTCCCAGCTCCTCATCCCGAGTAATTAACTGAGAAACTCATTAGCGTGGCTGATGGGGCTGGGCAGCCTCATGTGACCGCTGCTCCTTTTTCTCTCCATCCCTGCTTCCTCTTGCCTCGCTTTCCTAAAAAAAAAACCCAACAAAATTCCATTTCCTGTTCCATTTGTGTCACTTTGCCCTAATTAGTGCCCTAATTAGTGCACTTGGGGTGTCCTCCAGGAGGGGAGGGATGGATTTGGGATCCCTGGGAGCCGCAGGTTCATCCAAACCAGGAGGAAAATGGGAAAAAAAGAGGAAAACTCAGGGAGGTTGTTCTTGTTGTAATTGCTGGGGAATGGTTGTGCTCCAGAGAAAAATCCTTGCTCACAAATTTCGATTTTGGGGATTTCGAGCCCTGCCCTGGGTGATTTTGGGGTGCTGGCCCTGGATGCTGTTTGTAGGGGATGTTTTCAGGGATGGGACAAGGCCGGCTCCTGGCCTGGATCTGGGAATATCCATGGAGCACAAAGGGGCTGGATTGAGTCTGTGGTGCTGATCCATGAGGGAATTTAATCCTGGGGGAGCTGGGGCTTGGAGCCAGGCCAGGGAAGGAGCTGGGAATGGGCTGGAGAATTCCTGAGGGAGCTGGGAAGGGGCTGGAGAATTCCTGAAGGAGCTGGGAATTCCTGAGGGAGCTGGGAAGGGGCTGGAGAATTCCTGGGGGAGCTGTGAAGGGGCTCAGCCTGGAGAAAAGCGGGATCAGGGGGGACATTCCCAATCTCCACACGTCCCTGGCAGGAGGGGACAGCCAGGGGGGTCCCAGGGGACACCAGGACAGGAGGGAACAGCCTGAGGGAGCTGCAGGTGGGAGAACAGCGGGAATTTCCTCATGGAAAAGGTGGCCAGGCCTTGGAAGGGGCTGCCCAGGGAGGTTTGGAGTCTCAGGAATCCCTGGAGGTGTCGCAGGAATCCCTGGAGGTGGCACTCGCAGCTCTGGGCTGGGGACAAGGTGGGCATTGGGCACAGAATTCCAGGGGCACAGAATTCCTGCAGAACAGAATTCCTGCAGCACAAAATTCCTGCAGCTCAGAATTCAGGGGGCACAGAATTCCAGGGGCACAAAATTCCTGCAGCACAAAATTCCTGCAGAACAGAATTCCTGCAGAACAGAATTCCTGCAGCTCAGAATTCCTGCAGCTCAGAATTCAGGGGACACAGAATTCCAGGGGTACAGAATTCCTGCAACCCAGAATTCCAGCCCAGAATTCCGGCCCGGAATTGCAGCCCAGAATTCCAGCCCAGAATTCCAGCCCAGAATTGCAGCCCAGAATTCCAGCCCGGAATTCCAGCCCAGAATTCCAGCCCGGAATTGCAGCCCAGAATTCCAGCCCAGAATTGCAGCCCAGAATTGCAGCCCAGAATTCCAGCCCGGAATTCCAGCCCGGAATTGCAGGCTGCCGGAAGCAGGAGCCTGTGGAATATGGAGTTCCAGAGCTTTTCCCCGGGCCAGGGCTGGCAGGAAGGAGGGGGCAGAGCCGATTCCAGCGGGCTGAGCTCAGCCTTGTTTTCCCTGCCGGATCCTGCAGGGCTGTAAACACCGGGAAAGCCAAGGATGGGATCGTGTCCCTCTGGAAAACTCCGGGATTGTTTGTTCCCTTTGGTAATTCCAAACCTGGAG